CTCCCTTTCTCTCTGCCTGACTGATCTCCCATGCAGGATATCCCCGGCAGTTCTCGTCTGTTAGCCTGTCTCCTTCTTCCGCAGCCATCTGTTTGGATCTGTGTGTGTTTTTGGCAGCTGCCAACATACTACACAGCACCGTGCTATGCTTTCCAGGCCAGCAATGCCGGCCTTCTTGCTTTGCTCACGTAAGCTGTGTCTCAAGAGGGAATTCGCTCAGGCAGGATGTAGGTGGATTTGTGGATGGAAAACATGAAGAGCAACCTTTGGTGACTCAGTTTTGCATTTTGGGTGTAAAGTGTTAGAGACGGGCTTAAGTGAAGCCATGAAGATGAATGTCTGTCATGACTGGCACCATCTCGCTCCCAACTCTTCTTTTGACCACCATCTCTCACCATTTGTTGTGGATTTACTCCACAGATTTTGGGCTGGTGGACAGATTTTAGCAAGGACAACTCTGACTTACAGAGTCACAATCATACATGTCAAGTTCTACAAAATGTCCATAAATTACATGGATTTCCCCCCATTTTGCAGGCATACGGACAAATAGGGCAATCTCACAGATCATTTCAGATCTCACRGATTTTGTCAAAAACTCAGCTTCAAATTTATTTGACATCTCATAGCCTGTAGGACCTCAACAAAACCATAAATAAAGTTAAATAATCATCTCCCACAATCTTTGTGAAAATTACAATTTTTGAGATTCAATACAGCTAAATGTTCGAATTGAAAATGGGCACCGTACTCAGCAAACACAGAAATTACTATTTTTGTCAGATTTATAGATATAAAATATTAGGCTTTAATTGTAATCACAAATACTGGTACTTATTTTAAAATCGACGGCTAAAACTAGAGCCTGCAGTCCTTTAAAAAATAGTTTTTTTTCTTTTACAGAAAAATATAAACATTAGCTGGATTTTGTTTCAGCTCTACGGGAAATGTGTTMATTTTAAAGAATATTTCTTCTTTTGGACTTAAATGCTAGTAGCGCAGATAAAAGTTCACACATGGATTTATGTGTTTGCTGCCTCTGACCAATGACTAATCACTAATTTACCCAAAAGGTCTAACCAAGTGGGTGTGTTGTTGTTTACCTGTACAACAGTACAGTACAAGTCAATTTAGATTGCTCAGTGCACACCTACAAACCAGGGGCGGAGCCAGGGGGTRGCCATGGCCACCACAGACAAATCTTTGGCCACCCCATTGGCCACCCTGCAGTACACACCCCGACCACAGAGAAACAACATTTAGGGGTGTAATAATCCTCCTGAACAGTTGGTGGCAGTGTTTAACTGTTTGAAACATTACCAAGCTCCATCACTGAAGAAGAGTAATGACAAGGAAGTGATGATTATCTTTATATACAGAACCTGTGCCTATGTAATCTGATTTATGGTGTCAACTTTTGGACTTACGGTGACATTTTGTCATTTTTTGCTACAAAGCCTGGATGATTCTCTGTCCCTTCTGGTTATGAGTAGGCCTATCACTAAATTAGAAAAAGTGAAACACCCCTCTAAATTCACTGTTGGTGGTTATCAATGTTGCACCTATTCATTGGGTAAAATGATTAATATTAGTTTCAAACATGCAGTTGAGGGTCATCTTTATTTGGCACAATGACGTGTTACAATTAAAAATAAATAAATAATCAATAAACAATATAAAACTAAAAGCACCCCTAAAGTCATTGTATATAATAAATTGTGTTACATTAATTAAACTTTTCTCAGCTGTAGCAGTGAGATTAAAAACAGGATGATGGAACTAGTTTAATGAAGAATCTGTCTCTGAATTAATTATTAAATCAAGTGTTTATTTATGTAGGGAAAATTATGTTTAATAACCTGGTAAAATACGCCAGAATGCAGGAGATGGCATCTATTTCATTCAAAATTTTCTGGGGGAGGACCCCCAGACCCCACCAACAGTATGTCCCCCCACCTTTAAAATTGTTCTGACGCCCATGTTTATAAGGTAGTCACTGCCTGTAAAAGGACATAACAAAATGACCAAAACACAAAGATCTGCAGAGACTTTCAAGTAAAAAATAATATAATTTTCCTGGCCACCCCTGTGTGAGTAGTGGTCCCAGTCTGGCCACCCCTGAGAAGAATGTCTGGCTCCGCCACTGCTACAAACTTAATTTATTTTTTTTTGTATTAAAAATGTAATTATATTTTCATTAAATAAAGTTTTAATTAGTGTAGGAGACAATAAAAAAAACTTTTCCTAACCCGCAGCCATACTGCTGAATATAAAAAAATACAGCTGAGTATAACTGCATACCCGTCTAAACTATTTTATTTTCCCGTTCTTGCGTCTCTAAATAGATATCCAGATGAACTGATGCAGAGGAAAAGGACCAGCTGTTTTTTTTAAACTCAGCTTCTTTTTCTCTTTATTCTTGCTCTGCCTGCAGTTTTAATCTGCAAAGTGCACCTTTGCCCATTAGCGCAGTAAATTTGAGCCCTCCAACATGAGCCAGGGTGTATCTGTAGTGTACCGCATTGCTGCAGTCAGCAGCAGCAGCATCCTCTCCAACTACAGTTCAGTACACTCGTCTCTGTTTGATGAATGCATTGYTTTTTTTTCTTTTTTTACAATCAGATCTGGTTTGATTTGGGTGACAAAGTGTGAAGAATGAAAATGGGGCTACCAGCTGAGAAGTGTTTACATATAAACTTTATAAATGATAAAAACTAGTGTCTGTTTGTGTRTTTGAATGATAGGACATGGCAGGTTCTGCTTCACTGTTCACTACAACGGCACTTCTTTTTAGATATTCATTTTGCGATGTAGTGGAGCTGATACTTCTCACAATAAAACTTGAGATACTGACCCAAAAAGCACTTTTGATTTAAATGATCCTTGAATTGAACTCACTGTCCTGCTGGAAAACCACAGTGGTCATAAGATCTTAAAACATTCACTAAAACAGTCGATAAGGATTTTGATAAATAGTGTCTAACTGTCCTTAACACAAAATGTAAAATGATAATCAGATTTGCACTTGTTTAAATAAGTTATAGGTTAAGTCCATTGCGTTGAGATTTACTGAATCTCTGTAGGAACATTAGAATTAAAGTTTTATAAGAACATGTGCTTTGAAAGCTGTGCAGCAAATCTTCTGTGTCCCCTGCTCCTCATCAGTGACAGATGATCCACAAGGACTTTGCTGTGCCGCGTGGTAAATTTCCTGCCATGCCTTTTGCCCATCAGGGTCATGCCATCATCATCATCAACTGATTGCAGGAATGACCTGTGAGCCAGAAGTGCCGTGATTGAAACGAGTGGGCAGGGAGCGTTAAATTTGTCCTTGGGAATGTGGGACATGCATTCCCTGCCTGGGAAATTGATGGCAGGAGAGAAAGTCACCTTCACTTTATCATTACGACGTGGAGTTAGGACTGATGATGAGGGAGTAGCACAATGTTCTCAGCGTTTTATCTTACGGAGGGTTTAGTTTTATGTTACCCACTGCAGTAAGATGGGTTGAAGCAGCAATGGTGTTGGTTAATATTTTCAGGAAATGTTTCCTTAAGGTTTTTTTTTTTCAATTTGTGTAAGAATATGTGCACATACTGCACCTAACCACTCATCCCAACTCTTCCCAGCTGTCTTTTAAGTGAGCTTGCTACAGAAATGGCCTGCTTCTTGGACAGACACTTTGAATTATTCATACAATCCCGTTGCTCTGAGCAGTTCTGGTTTGAAGAAACATTTAGCAGCCRTAGCTTATAAAAGACTAAATCATTTGGATTTGTTTCGCGGTGTTGCTTTTTGACTTTATTGCCATTTAACAGTATTTACTTAATACATTTTATCTCACAGCTGTAGAAAACTTAAAAACTTGATGATGTTTAATGATTCGGCTTCATGTCTGCACTCAGAGTGATGACATATCGCCATCTAGTGGTGCAGACGAGTAACAACTTTTGAATGAGCGTAGACCGCTCACCCAGCTTTTCTCTCAAATTCAGACTTTTGACAAAAAATATTGATTGGATTCACTTCCAAATAAAAAAGCTATTTCACTTTAGCAGACTGATTATTCTCATTGTCTGTGCTGAATTGGAATACAACATTTTTCACTTATATTTTACAGCATCTAGAAACCATTACTGTGTCTGTAAGGGTTTTTTTTTTTCTAAAGAAATGATGAGCTGCCCTCACCCTCATAAACCTCCACACTAAAGTCATGCTTGGTTGTGTATGTGTGTGTTTTTATTACGTTTTGTCGAAGATTTTTGACCATTTTCCTGGTACACACATCCTTGTGTGGACCCACTGTCCATGATGGGGACAAAGTCCGGGACCCCCTGGTTTTGGGTGGGGGGGGGGAGCTCAGTTTAGGACAAAGGTGTAGATTGAGTTCAGGTGAGGTTTAGGGTTAGGACTCAAGGTTAGGCTATGAAAACAACCGGAAATTGTATGGAAGTCAATGCGAAGTGCCCACGAGGAAAGAAGAACAAACGTGTGTGTGTGTGTGTGTGTGTGTGTGTGTGTGTGTGTGTGTGTGTGTGTGTGTGTG